CCTGCTGACATTTGTGGCTGTAAATTAAAATGGTGGAAAAAAGGCAACCGGAAGTGTCTGGTGGATTTTTAGTGATGAAGAAAACTGAGCTTATTTCTGAATTTTAAATTAATTCAGTGTCATGAATTTGTGCATGTGTGTACCTGCATATTGAAAATACTCAGCAACACGTTAGACCTCCTGGATGAGCGCGGAAGGATGCAGGTCTCTGAAGGACAATTGTTGTGTTACATTACAATAGGTTTTGAACAATTGTCTGCCTGATTAAAAATCTGTTCTTTTCTGTAGGTGAGAATACAGGAGATGGTGAATTAGATCTGAGTGGGATCGATGACAGTGAAATAGATCGGGTAAGGTGCCCTCTTATCCCATCTCTCTCTACATTTGAATATCTGAGGATGAAAAATGGTTCTTACCTGGTTTGTCTTCTCTCCTTACTGCCTCATTGCTCTGAGCTGTAGAGATGTCCAAGTGCTTTCAGTGACCCGAGATCAAAACTAATGTTCATGCAAGCCTGTGAATTTGGCCTTCCTTACCCATTTTGTCTATCGGACTGCTGCTGCTGCTTACTCTTACAGTGCTGGAATAATTATCTATTGGAATGTCTTTTATTCAGAAGAAAGACGTAAAAGTTTGGTGGAACTCTAATTTAGTTATTTAATTAATATATATCAACATAGGAGACTGACGTGGAAACCAAACTGTAAAACCAGCATGTACAGCTTCTGTGTTCTATCAAAGATCTCTGTAACATTTTCTGGATTTATTATTATTTATGTGGCAGCAAAAGATTACCCTTTACCGTATAGACTGATGATGACAGACAGACAGCTGTGGAAGATGGCTTGCTGAAGGCCACGCAGCAGGTCAGCAGGCGGCAGAGTCCGTCTCTCCTGACTCTGAGCCTGATGCCCTCTCCAGCCACCATGCTGCTTTAAAGTGCACTTAGAACTGATAATGCCAGTGCTAAAAACTCCTTTTGGGGTACAGAATCATCGAGAGTGATGAGGTTGTGTAGGGGTTACTATCTGCAGAACATTGTTGGCGATGGATGAGGAGCAGGAAATGCTCAGCTTGACTTGAGGTAGTGAAGTGGGTTTTGGTAGTCTCGGCGTTAGGAGGGGTCTTGTGTGTTGAGCAGACGTGGTATGGAGAGAGCGGGAAGGCTGAAGGATTTCAATAAAGGCAGTTCATAATTTAAACAGTCATGGTGGAAGAACAAACACATTTTCTCCTCCTCCTGGGCTCTGTGATGAGGTCATAACTCTGCTTTTATGACCTCATGTTCATTTCCATGGCAATAGGCTGTAATATTGTAAGCCCAAGATATGAGCTCTCTGAAAGTGTAAGGATGAATAACTGAGCCAGTAGGAAGCGGGTTTTACTGTTATGGCCCAGTTTTAATAGAAGCAGATGAAGAAGTGAAAATATTGATCTGATAAACCAGGACTTGTACAGCTCTTTGCTCACCTTGTTTGCCCTCAGAGGAAGGACTCCTCCCTGCATTAGTTTCATTTGACTGGAGTTATTTTTCTCATAAAATCCAGTATGTACATTTTATTTCAGAGAAAATCTTGAATGTTCAAACCCATAAGATGCAGAAATCTCAGATTGTTTTTCTTGCATTTAAACATTGTTTTACAAGTCTTGGGTCCGCTGCTTAAAAATAAAGTGTCTTGCTCATGAACAATGACCCAATCTGTCTTCTCTGTTCTGCAGAAGTTCTTCACTCCTAAACAGCAGCAGCTGTAGAGAATTTCTGTTTCACAGACAGTTGTGCTAAGTACTGGGTTTATTTTTACATTTAAGTAGTTGAAGAGGAGATATATCTGCCAGCCTGCTTGCTACCTACTTGGTTGTCTGTTTCTGTAATTCATCTGTATAGTTCTAGATGTGTTTTACAGCTCCACATCTAGTAATGACGTTACCGATACTAAGTGGAGTTAACTGAAAAAAGCCTAGATATGGTTATTGAACCCAACTCTCTAAAGTCCAGAGGACTAAAACTCCAGCAATCTAAGCTGGTTTCATTCACATAGATGTGGCCATTGAACTAATAATCTCAGTAACTGTGCCTAAATCTTCACAGAAACCTACCCAGAAGACACATGTTTCCGTTTTGGTAACACAGGGCAATGGTTCACATACTGTTTTGAATTACAGACCACCGTCAACATACAGAATTACTTGCAGACAACCATTTTGTCATGATACCCACTTGCATCATCTGAAAAAGATCATAAGCCCAGGATCATTTTAGGTTAATTACAGACCACGTACAATGAGTCCTGGATGGTTTTTGGTCACCCCATCATAGTTTGGAAACCAAGCACTGTTGTTTTTGAAAACATATTATTGTTTTTCACCAGCTTTAGAAGTTACTAGAAGTGCTCTCTGATTGTTACATCTCAGTCATGTTTTCTTTTATTAATGTATTTTTAAAAAATAGCATGTGAATTGACCTTGCCAGTGGTTTTTCAGTGCAATTTTGATCTATGGTTTTCAAGTTGATTTCTGAAAGTAGATACATATTTTTTGTCTTTTAGTATATACTTAATGAAGCAGAAGCTCAGATAAAAGCAGAGCTGTGGATGAAAGAAAATGCAGATTATTTGAAGGAACAGAAAGGTAAGTTTTTAAGACTGAAATTCTCCTTTTGGCCAACGTTGCTGATATATGCAGTCTGTGTATTCTTCATTCTGGTTACCCTTTTGTCATCTTTTCAGAAAAGGAAGCAAGAATAGCAAAAGAGAAAGAACTTGGGATTTATAAAGAACACAAGGTATTAAATTGTGTGCTAATTGTGTCTGTTTGAAAATGTCCTGGAAATTCATTACATTTGCTGATGAACTCCATGTAGGATGTATGGGCATAATGATACAGGTCACCACTGAACGAGCAAAAACTGTTGTATCTCTACCTGTTGAATTATAAGACTATAATTTTTCATGTGGGTGAGTAAAAAACTTTCATGCCCAGACTTTTATTTTAAATAACTACTATGAGAAAATTCTGTGCATGGCAAAGCCATAACTAGTTCTTTGCATTTATGATGGATGTCCTAATTGCTTGGTTATTTAAATACAGGTCTTTAGACATGCCTGATTTTTTTCTAACATGTCCACGGGGAATTTGTTTGTACTTGCCATAACTCAGTAGCTTTCTTTGCTCTTCCAATAATGATTTCTTTATGAAGACCTGAACAGATCCTTGTTACAGTGACTTGAAGGAATATTTTGTTCTACCTTTCATAAAGAATGCGACAGTTATGTTAACAAATGGCATGTCCTGTCTACATGTTTAGCAGTTTAAAGCAGCCTAATTGCCCATATATTTGTGATTTACAGCATTTGTTTTCTGTGTAATTGAGCAAGTGACATGTCAAATCATCCACATGCAACTAAAATCCGTGTTAGTTTGTAGTGCTTATATCCTCTATCTTTTTTTCTGACTAATGTGAAAGACAGAGTTTCCTACTTCCCTTAGATATTTTAACAATAAAAACAAAACCAGACAATGAAACACTGTTTTATGCTTCAGAGTTTCTCATTCACCCTGCGCTTACGCAGACGTGGCAGTCTACCAGCAATTTCCAAAATTGTATAACTCATTGGTGCAGCCAAGTAGCCCAAACACCCACTTTTTTGTTCAGACAACACAGGAGTTTTTATCTAACTGTATTGTTTCTGACAGCTTGAGTAGAACTTGATTAATATAGTGCTTTCCAATTTCAAGGTAGCACTTGACCCATGTAGGTAAACAGAGGGGCTATTATCCATTAAAAAAATAAATCTCCTGCAGAGCTTGGTGTTAAAACCTTCCTTTGGAAAGGAAAATGCCAAATGAGAAACAGAGGTTCTGTTTTTTTTTTCCTTCATACCTACCCAAGCTTGGGACATGGCTGGAAATGTTCTCTGGTGTCCCTTCTCTTTGTCTGGCTCTGCAAAGCATCAGCCTCCGTGGCACGACGCTGGGCTTGGGCTTGCAGCGCTGGCTGCGAGGGGCCGCTGCCGGTGACAGTGCCACTGTGCCCGTGTGTCTGCAGCCTCTTGCTTCCTCTCTGTCGGTGTTACTGCCCGGCCACGCTGAGAAAGCTGCTGCTAATGTTCCTGGCCTTTTTCAGGGTGCAGGAGTTGAGTAGATGCTTTCTCACACTGCATTTGGACTTGTTATAGAATATCGTTGCAGTTTTGATAGGGAGGTGTCAGTGCTTAAGGGAGTCATGGCCCAGCTGGACTCAGCTTTAAAGGAGTTCTAGCAGAGGAATTTCTTTATTTCCATGCTGGGTGATACTATCAGGGTCCCTGTTCCTGTAAGAGAGGTTCACTCTTTTTTTTTATTTATTTATTTTTTATATTTTATGTGTGAGAAATGGCCCATGTTTCTTCTCTGGCAGCATTACAAATACTAAGTAAAGAATTTGTAATAAACTGTGTGGACATTTGGAAAAAAATAAACACTTAACCTCTGGGAGAAGGGAGGCCTCTGAGTCCTGCTCAGTGGCAGGAGGGGGAGTGCTGGCTTAGCCAGGCCACGTCACCCATGCCCCCGCACCAGCAGCACCTGAGCCAGGGCTGCTGAACTGCAGCTCGCCCTTCTGCTTTACAGAAACTTTGTTTGTATCTACATCACTAATTTTATATTTTAATTAAGCGAAAGAAATCTGCAAAGAAGCGGGAGCCAATACAAGCCAGCACAGCAGGAGAGGCAATTGAAAAGATGTTAGAACAGAAGAAAATCTCAAGTAAAATTAATTATAATGTGCTAAGGGACCTGAACAGCAAAGGAAGTAACACACCAAAGAAAGAGGATGACAGCACTGATGACAGCACCAACACCAAGAAGCTGTCAAGAAGAAAATCTATTGCCAATAGGAATATAGCCAACCCTGTAAACAGTGTGGGAAAAAGGTACTGCAATTGTTCATTTATATCTCTGTCTGTGAGACTGTCTATGTATCTTTCTAAGCCAGACAATGCAAGGACTGAAACATTTGTTTGAGGGTAAAATAATGTCAGGGCTCTGTTTTTATTTATTTTGCCTGCAGTGTCACGGTGGCACCTTATTTATAGTTCATCTATCAGAGGTCTGCTTTGGTGTGAGTTAATCATCCTGAAGCCAAAAAAAAAATAGTAAATGGAAATTCATAATTGTGAATCTTTCAGCTGGGGACATCTTTTCTTCGTACAACCCTAACATTGGCTGTCCTGTCGTTCTAAGTTGCCTGCATCAGCTGACATGACACTAAATGTTTAAAAGCTTTGGCTTTTTGCTTGATTTGAAAATATCGTTCCCATCTGTTTTGACAGCTAGCTGTTTTGATGAGCTTTTAATTTAGTTTTGTTCCAAACTTTTGGTTTTAATTGATGACACAAATATAAAGCTTTAGAGTAAATACGCTTGTCGTTTTTCTGGTCTGTATTTGCAAACGCTTTACAGTGTGATGAAAGCTACTGTTTTGATGAGTAAAATACTTGACTTGCTGCGCAGATTTGTGATGTGCTATAAAGTGTAAAAGGAGATTGATGTGTCCTATCCACAGTATTCAACTATTTTATTCATCTTCGGTTTATGAAATCATGTTGGATGATCATTCAAATCATGTTTACATATCGTAATTTCTCACTTAGATGTTCTATATTTGTTTAGTTACATATTTATTTATTAACCACCTAAAATACGTTGTTTTTTGCTTCCAGACATATAAGCCAAACACCTCAAAGAAATTTAGGTATTTAATTCTGAAATGTAAGATGATGTCTTTGCACCGTAGTTCACATTTTAGGCATGTGTTACAATCAGGTAAAAGGAGGATTAGCTAAGAGTGTTCAGCCCATGTTTTATTTGGACTCAACAGGTATTAGTAAGTAATATTTTTAGTATTTTTAGTAAAATATAGCTGATCAGTTGCCTGTAGTGCAACGTGTGATGGGAAGTAGGGGCTGATAAGGATCCTGGTTGCATTTCAGAGCTCAGCAGTAACATCCACGCTTAAGCTGCTTTGCCAAATCCCAGCCTTGTCACTTCTGAGGTTTGCAGAAATGTTGGGCACTCAGAGCTCCTGTTGAAGTCAGCATGTTGAACTCTTAACAGGTGTTAAACTCTTTGGAAAATCATGCCATAAATATTTAATTTAACAGTGGTGCAACTTGAAAAGGTTTCTAAATAAATACAAATCAGTATTTTCCAAAAGCATCTAATAAAACATGTTTATTTTTCCTCTTGAGAGCCTAAAGTACGTCCTTAAGATGCATAACAGAGTTTCCTGATGATGATTAGCTGATCTCGGATACAATGAATTTTGCAGCAGAACACTTCAGAGGAGATTGAGGAGACATGCAGATACAGGAGTTGAGGAGATTTTGCACTCCAGAAGCAGGCAGTGTTCTTGTTTAAATAATATCAAGGACTTGGCAAACCATTAGTTGAACTTTTTTTTTCCTTACAATTAAAGATTTATGACATACTTTTGATTTTTTTTGCTAGTAGTCTAAATGCCATGCCTTTTAAATGGCATGCATAAATTTCTGTGTTCTGCATTGTTCTTCTATGCCATGCATTCATTGCCTTTGTTCAGCTTTGTTCCTCTGAGAGGTGAATGGCTAAATACTTTCCCACTGATAGAAAAATCATGGTAATTTATATGCAATTAATAATAATAAAACCCCTGAACATTGCTCATTAGAAAGTGAATGAAGTATATAATGTATCTTTATCCAGGAGGCATTTGCAGAGCTCTTGCTAACTGTTTGGGTTTGTAGTGATTTACAGTCCTGAATGTTTACTTTTATATGTCTTAAATATTTACTAAGCTGCATCTGACTGCAGTAGCACCTTGCATAACCATGCTTTGATCCTGTCCCTTGGTTTATCTGAGTTATAGTCAGATTTTAAAGAGCTACTGTTTTAGTCCTGATCCCAATTAGGAGGTACAAGTACCAAGTTACAGGGAGCTTTACAGGCTAGGAAAGAAATACTCATTCTTGGTGATTAAAGCAGCACTCCTGTAAAGATATAACATTATGAAATTAGACAGGGTTTTTTTTTTTAGTAAATAAATATCTATATTGCTTTCATTTTGCAAGCCAAGATTTTGTACACCTCTTGAGGTTTGGATAGATGATGCCGCCAAGTTTGTGGCATCAAAACTTGTGAAAAGCTGTTGTTTGGCAAGAAATTTATAAAGAGCTGGAATGCTAAGCATAGTCCCAGGAGCATGCTTACATTAGGTGTTCTTTCAGTTGGTGGCCCTTTTGAATGTGGCAGTGTTGCTGCTATAATCACTTCATAGTTACTTGGATTCCAAAGGCAATATAGTTTATCTACATATTGATTAATAAAAAAATCCTTATTTTGAAATCTCAGAGATGTTTGGTATTTTCTGAAATTTTGTTAGGAAGGTATTTTAAGGAAGGAATTCTCTCAGTTATTTAAAGATCATGCAAATTTCTCCTTTTTAGATTAATATACATTATATACATCAATATTTTGAGAAGCAAACAATTTTTGAACAGATTTCTTTACCATGAATGTTGTGCAACTTTTTGAGTTTTAGAAAAAGACCTTTTCTGAAACACATCTCCCAGTATTATCTTGGGTTTTATTTATTGTATCTGTCAAGATGCTAGAAGACTAGCAATATAAGTAATTTTAGGAAATTTTATGTTGTGTAAATGTATTTCATTACATTTTTTAATGCATCTTTGTTCCAGTGGGTATCACAATTGGTGCTTTTCACACAAAAGCCATTTCATTCTCTGTGTGTTCAAGATACAGCACAGTGAATGTTACAATAATAGATGCTGCAACTTTAATTTCAATTAACATTTGTACAGTTTATCTTCACTAATGTCTTCTGTGCATATGAAGCCTAAGAATAATATGTTGAACTCCTAAAAAAGAACAGTTGCCACTTGGAGCTACTTAAAACCTGCACTCCAGTTAGAGCTGTGTCATGCACTGGAGCTCTTCAAGTCCAATAAAGTGGGGGTTTAGAACTGAAAGCTTTTGGTTAGAAGCTTAATAATTTATTTTATATTTACTTGAGCTGAATCTCACAACATTACTTGGGAAGTGAATGTGTTGTACCAAGAAAATGTGGGAACAGGAAAGCTTTCAAGTCACTACTTTTGAAAAATTTTAAGCCTGTTTATTGCTATGTGCTTGAAATTGGTAATGATATCAGAAAAGACAGGATATATTATCGAGGGAGTAAATGTGTCAGGTTAATCTCTTGAAGAATTTGCCTTGGAAGAAATGAAGCAGGACTGTGAGGCACAGCTGATATGTTGTAATGAAGCAAGCTTGTGCTGAATGGAAGCATATGAATATATAATAAAAAACCAAATCATGCCTGCTATGAATATGACAAAAGCCCTTGGTAGAGACCTCAGATTTGATTAGATCTGGAAATTCACGTCCAAATTCTCCCCATGGGCTCACTTGTATTTATTGACTCTCCATTTTGCAAGGACACGTTGGCACATGGCGCCACCGGTGCTTTAGAGCCACAGGATCTGGATATTGCAAGTCGTGCATTTTCAGTACCAGGAACTTGTTCTGCTGCCCAGATTCCTGCCCTGGGATCCACACTTTCAATTAATGTCTGCTCCAGCTACATTTTTGTTGGCTTTTCAATGGGTATCATGACCTCAGAAAAATCACCTTTATTATTAGGAAGAATATATGTAATACTTCTTTACAGCATAGCATTCAGCATCTCATTTAACCTGATAAATTACTTGGTACTTTCTTGGAATCATAACTGGAAAATAATTGGAAGTATAATTCCACAGGGGGGTAAAATATGGGCAGGAACCCAATTTAGGTGCGTTAGACGAGCCAAATGATCCCATGCTGCAGAGAACACTGAATCAGCTCCCCACCACAAGCCACTGGGAGCACTGCCCCCAGCTCTGACCCTCATTTACCAGAAGTTGGCCCAAAGTTGGCCCTTTCTGGTGTCTGGAATGTGCATATTACCCTCTAAGGTGGAAATTTGTTTTCATCTCATTGGCTTTGCCAGATTATTTTTGGTAATGTGAAAGGGAGGCAGGCATTGGGGTACTTTTTGTCACGCCCAGCCTGAAAACTTTCTCTTCACTTGTTGATGCTGCGGTTATACAGCAGGATCTGTATTTGTTTCACTTGGGGAATGAGGAGAGAAGAAGCCCCAAACCGCCCATTTCCCTCCCATCTAGGGTTATTGATAATGATAAACCCTTTATTTGTAGTTTCACTGTTTCAGTGGGTGAAGGGGTTGTGCTGAGTGCCCCTAACTCAGACACAACTCTGACTGTCCTGAATGCTTGTTCTACATAGGCAATGGCTTAGAATTTATTTTTATAAATCCAAAGCCAACTCTTTTTTTTTTTTTAATGTGCAATATTTGTTGTTTATTTTACATTGTGAGACTGGTATTTGTGGAGGAGGAGGAGTGTGAGCTCATGTTTTCCAGGTTACTCAGATCAGTCCGAAACAGTGTGAAACAAAGCTCGGTTTGAGTAGTCCAGCAGGTTCCTGGGTACCTGGAAACCCTTTATACCAGCTAGACCCAGGTGATTCAAAGGTTAAAGCCCTCTGGAGTCACTGTGTCAAAAAGAGCGTTGTTATTTCAGAATTATTTTTTTAGGAAAAATGGCACTGCGGTAATGCTTTAAAAGTTTGGGAATGGATATCTTAAAAGTTCATTAACTCCGACTGATGGGCATCTACAGCCTATCTTACAGGTTAGCAACTGATGGTGAAGCTGAGCTTGTGAAGAGGGACAAGGCAGGTGTTTGGCAGGTACAATGCTTTTGAGAGAGTCTTTTCCATGCTAATTTTGGCGGTATGCATTCTCTCTACAAATTGGCCCTTTGAGATGGCATCTTAAGAATGTTTTTATGTGCTTTAATTTTTCACCATATAT